TTTGCCCTGTTGTTTCCATTGGGCAGGAACGGTTTCCTGACCGACAGCCCTCCACGCGGGGACACGCCCCCTGGCCCTGCCCCCCGGCCCCTGCCCCCCGGCCCCTGCCCCTGCCCCCCGGCCCCCTGGCCCTGCCCCCCGGCCCCCTGCCCCTGCCCCCCCGGCCCCCTGGCCCTGCTCAGCAGTTAGCAGGGCTGGACCTCAGACGGGGCAGCCGCTCGGTGCCAAGTGGGCTGTCTGCGCGCGGTGCCAGCCGCAGGGGTCTTTGCTGAACAAACGGACAGGCATTCAGCAGTGACCTCTACAGGAGCCCCAGGCCACAGGTGTCCCTCACCAGGTGCAAGCATCTCCTTGGCACAGGGCTCCTCCATCCACGGAGGCGACTGGTCCCCGCATCCCGAGGTGCCCCTGGCTCTGCCCTCTGCTGTTCTAGGACATAACCAGCAAGGCGATGTGCTGTCCACGTTCCCAGAGCCAGCAGCACAGAAGCTCTTGGGCCAGGCAGTGCCATCACTTCCCAAATGAAGGGTGGGAGCGTGGGCTGGACGTGAGGACCGGGCAGCGGAGGCCGCACATGCTTGGCAGGTCACCAGTCACTTGGGGCAGGAGAGGGAGACGGCTGTGAAGAAAGAGTGTCCCGGGGGGAGGAGGGGGGAGACCCTGAGCCCTGACCTGGTGAGGAGGCATCACCTCAAGGCCCCGAAGCCACTGAAATCCACTCCGTAGGTTAAGTCAAAAGCAAGCCGGGCTTGGGAGAACGCCATCAGCTCACAGAAGCAGAGCAAGGGAAGACCCGGGCGTCACGAAGGCCTGTCCCGGCCACAAGATCAGTAAGAAAACTCACGTCGGCCCTGGGAGCAACGTCCCTCTGCTTCGTCCTCTAGACGCTTGCCTGAAGCCTCAGATTCTCCATCTGTAAAGCCCTGCAAGCCAATAAGAGACGTAAAGCTGCAATAGAAAATGCACAAGAGCACGTACAGGCAGCCAGCCCCCGGGACAAGAAATGCAAGTGACTCTTACACTAATGAAAGTATGTTTAGTCTTATTCAACATAGAAATGCAAATGGAAACTCCAGTCCAAGCCCAAGTCACCTGTCGGACTGGCAGTGACCCAGAGCTGCCATCCTGCTGTGTGGGTGGGGCTGAGAGCAGGTCCCACATACGCTATTGGCCCAACAGCTGCCATCAGAAATGTCTGAATGCACATGCCTGCTCCAAGTCGCAGTGTGCATCTCATCACGGACACATCGGGCAAACACAGAGCAGGGACACTGGAACACAAAGCAACTGTCTATACTTGTTAAAAATCAAGATTATGAAAAGCAAAGAAATGCTGAGGAACTATTCCAGCAGGAGGGCGTGGGCCTGGTTGGGTGGGAGGTGTGTGTGCGGGGCGGGTTTAAGGATGTGATTGGGACATGTGGCAAAATGGTAATAGGGACTGCGCACTAGACAGATTCAGGGCAAGTTTCTGAATTTCATCACCGTCCTGTGGCTGAGAGGGCGCCTTTGATTCCAGGGTCTTAGGAAGTCACACGGAATAGCTGGGGTGAGGGCCTGAGGTCTGCCGTCTACTCACAAATTGTTCAGAAAACAACTTTATAAACATATATAATAGATCCTGATGTGTACTTATAACATCACATATGACATATCCATCATGTATAATATGTGATATGTTGTCACAAAGGGTGAGAGAGAAAATAACTGTGATGAAATGTTAACCATGAGTGACTCCAGGTGAAGTGTATACAGAAGCTCTTTTTTTAGTTCTTGTGAACTTTCTGTAGGTTTGAGATTATTTCAGGATAGAAAAGGGTAAAAGAGACCTGCACACGAACTCAGCGGTGCACAGGCCCGTGTGGAGCGGGCTCGCCTCCCCGTCCCCGCCGTGTGGGCTCGGGCGTCAGCCACGCTCTGGCCACGGGCAATCCACACCCGCCCTTTTGTATCCTGCCCTTTGTGTGACATTATAACGTGAGCATTTTTCTGTTACAAAAACGTCTTCCAAAACTGCTTTTAATGGCTTCCTGGTAGTACTCCCAGGATTCCGTTTTTTTGGGAACTTGCGTCTTTTCCTGCTTTTTTCATCCCTATAAACAATGCTGTGCCGGGCAGCTTTGTGTGCATCTCTGCTGCTCCCTGGCTGGGTCTTCTTCCGGAAGATTCTGTGGAGGGAGGCTGGAGGGGAGGCCGCGGAGGGAGGCCGGCTGGGCTGCAGAGGCATCCTGCAGGCCCTGCCCAGCAGCATTCCGCATTCCAGAGAGGTCGGCCCCGGGCGCGCCCACCCGCCAGCGCTGCTCCGCTCCCTGGCAAGCCTGGCATTATTACACATCCTCAAAACATCTGCCAGCCAAGATGTTCCCACGGGCCTGGTGTTTGGTTTGATCACGGATGTATCCATTTTTGTTGTTGTCCTGCACATGGTCTGTTCCTCTGCCATTTCCTTGGTCTGTCCCTGTGCTCCTGGCCCATCGGTCGTTCCTTGGGAGCGGTGGCAGGGAGAGCAGGCAGCGGGCTCCTGCTCGGGCTCCGCCACCGAGGCCGCACTCTGGGTCTGCACCCGGCGGGCTGCTCCCTCAGTCTCCGCTCCCTCTCAGGGAAAGGGTTGTAGCAGGTGGTGAGCTAATCCACGCGAGGTGCTCAGGACCACGCACCACACACGCGGAGCTAAAGGAAGGCCCCGTGGTCGGTGCAGGAAGGAAACCGGCGCTCCCCTGCACGCTGCCCATTGCTTCCGCCCAGACCTGCAAGCTTTGCTCAGCCAAGCAGGCAGCTCCGCGCGGAGCTGGGGGAAGAGCCAAGGAATTCGGTGTCCGCTGAAGCCTGGGAAAGAACGGCCACTCTCCAGCCGTTCTCAGAGCCGTAAGGGCAGCCGGCTTGGCTCCTAATCAAAACTCAAAGAGAAGATTTCACAACTTCTTAGAGCTGCCGCCCAGCATCCCGGCGGGTCAGGGAGGGACGCGAGGACTGACCTAGTGCCTGCCTGCTCTCCTGGCATCTCCAGTCCCCGCAGTGCAGGCAGCAGGGACTTGCATCCCAAAGACAGCCTGCTGTCACCGCAGGCAGCTAGACATTAACCAGCCAGGAGGCAAAGGCAGCCGGACGTCGTTAAGCCTGGGCAGCGGCACCAACACCCTCCAGTACCAGGCTGGGGGGCAGGGTGAGCACACGTGCAGTGGAGGTGCTAGACCACAGAGGCCTGTCGGTCGAACCTGGGAAAGGACCCCTTAGAAGCCTGCACATCCGGGGGAGTTGATTGGCTCTTTGGGGAAAGCTCCTGTTCCTCCCAAGCCCGAGATGATTAACCCCGAGGAACAAGCAGAACTCGCTGTGCTGGTGACCTGCTTGCCCTGTGCCCTCGAGCGTCCTCCTCCATAACAGCGGCCACGCGGACGCCCAGCACAGGCCCCGGCGGGCTGGAGCCCCAGCACCGCAGTGGGTTGCCGCCGGATCACGAGCTGAGCCAGCGGGAGGTGGGGGGCGGGGGGAAGGCAGGGCGGGCGGGGCTGGGATGTGGCACAGGCTGGACACTGGTCCTCTTTCTGGCCCTGATTTCCGTGGCAGGACAGGCAGAGACCCCCAATATAAATTTCTATTTTCACCCAAATAAACCTCACTACCAGGCGCATCCTCCTTGTGGGTCCCCGAAAATGCTTTTCTCGTGACACCACAAGAGCCCCACTTCCACCGGCAGCACTACCACGGTCTGCAGGCGAGACTCGCCTCAGCCAGGTGAGGCCCAGAAAGGCCAAGGCCGGGCCGGCTCAGACTCGGCTCGGGCCCCATTTCCCTTCCTTCTCGGTCGGTGCCCTCACTCCTGATGCCCGAGATCCCTCCGGTCTGTGTGGAGGAGTCGAACCAGCAGTGGGCACCCGAGTCGGGTCCTTGGAGAGGGTCACGCCCGCCCGACGCCTGGAGAGCGGCTTGGAGCTGCAGGTGCGTCTCAGCCCAGCCCACGTTCCCTGGCACCTGACCTCAGGGTGACCTTCCTGTTGGCATGGAGACCACTCCCCCCACTGCGTCACACACCTCTGTTGCCCCTTTGGGGAAACCAGCCAGCGATGCCACACTGCAGGCGCCTTTTCCTGTGCTTGAAAGCCATGCGGGAGGTGTGCGCCGCATGGGAGAACATAATGCTACAACACGGCTACCTACAGAGCAGATCCCCACGCTGAGCCCCCAGCTCCCCAGAAATGCCGCCACAGAGTGCCACCAGCCCTCGTACCCAGCCCCGGAAAACCACCTCGCCCGGCACTGGCCTGGCCCAGCCCCCAGCGCACAGGACCGCTGGCTCCCGGTTGAGACGGAGCCGCTCTCTCAGTTGGAGGAACCACGGACGTGGCCTGTGGGGAGCGGAGGCCAAGTCCGGGCTGCGCGGTAGGCCGGAGCCGGGCAGACCGCCCCAGAGCTCATGCGTGGGCCGGGAGGCACAGGAAGGGGCGAGGCACCCAAGAGAAACACGGGCTTGTGCTCCGGGAGAATGTATCTCATTCTACAAAAGCTGGAAACAAACCTTCTTCAATGGCGGCGGAGGAAGCTGATGTGTTCACACCACGTGCCTCACACAGCAGAGCCACGTCCCCCTCAGGCCGCACCGTCCATGGATCTCACAAAGCTGGACAAGAGAATCCAGACGGAGACAGAGCACACACTGCATGGTTCTGTTTAGATCACGTTCAAAACCAGGAAAACTCATTAACGAAGCTGGAGTCGGGGGCTCATCTGGGTGCAGCTGCCGCGGTGCACACTCCTGTACAGACGGGAGCTGAAGGCCTGGGTGTGGGCGCTTGGCTGTGAGTTACACCTCAGTGTGAAAGAGGAGAGGCAGGAAGAAGGGCGGCCTGTTAGAGTCGGTGGCTGCTGAGCCTGGCGTGTCGGCTCATTCAGTCCTCCGGGAGCTCTGGGCGCTGGGCGCTGGCACGGTCTTTGCCAGTGAAACAGCACCCCCACCCCCAGAGCCTCTGAGGTGGGAGGTGTGGGGAGGCCCAGGACCTTGCCGTTCCAACGCTCTCACCTGTCTCTCACAGGCAGTCCTGAGGCCCGGCAGGAAGGTGTGCTGAGAACCGCCAGCCTGTGCGTTTTCACAGCAGATAGAGTGGGGGAGCCACAGCTGGGGCGGGAGACACCTCCAACCTGAGAGGGGTTGAGGCAAGTCCAGTGGCACACGTCTTAGAAGAACAAATACCATCCGAGACGCTCACGAGGAGCTGGGGGCCTGGAGGGAAACCAGCATGGAGGGAGAAGGTGAGTGGGTGGCTTTCATCTCCGTGGCCAAGGGGTTGACAGGGCATCTGGGCCTGCTGGGCGGGCGGGTTCTTTTGAGTGATGGAGTTTGAAACTAGGAGAAGACCATGACTGGAAAATCATGCCCCCGCACACAGGGGGGCAGTACGCTCTAAAGTCAGGAAGTGAAGGAAGTCACCTGTGGCCATCTACCTGTGACAACCCACACATGGCCCATAAAGGGGCGAGGGAGCCGGCTCAGCTCACTGGCTGGGTGCCAGGTGACCTCAGCTGAGTGTGCTGAGCAGCCAGGCAGCCCCCCCTGTGGCCTGCAGGGGGCAGCCCCGCCCTGTGGCCTGCAGGGGGCAGGCCGAGGCAGAGGGCAGCGGGCTGATGTGGGAGCCTATGGGGAGGTGGAGTGAGTAGTGATGGGAAAGTCTGCCCCTGTTGGTGGGTGAGAGATGAGCTGAGTATAAAGATGCCACCCTGACTACCTTCTCTGCAGGCCTAAGGGCCACAGGACTGCCCCACCACTGTTGTCTGTTTAGTTTAGTCTTATAGCTCTCATGCCAAGATGCCATGATCAAAACTAGTTATAAGTCATGCGTGGAATCAACATGTTACTCAGTAATTCCACTTCTGGATATACACTGAGTGGACAGATTATTATGACCACTGACGTTTGTAGGCAAATTAGCTATAATTTCATGCTGAAGTTACTAGAGGGCCAGACCATTATAAAGGTCTGAATAGCACAAGATACCTAAATATCGTTGCTGATCAAGTTCATCCTATCATATTGATGGCGTATCCCAATGGAGATGGCTTCTTCCAACAAGACAATGCGCCATGCCACGGTGCTCGTATTGTGCAGGAGTGGTTTCAAGAACATGAGGGAGACTTTACCTTGCTTAGGTGGCCCCCACAATCACCAGATCTCAATCCAATTGAGCATTTGTGGGATGAAGTTAAAAGAGCCATCAGGCAGCTGGTTCCACAACCATCAAATCTCACAGAACTGGACAGTGCTATTCATCAGGCATGGTGTCAGATTCCTCGCATCACCTTTCAACATCTCGTGGACTCAATGCCAAGAAGAATCGCCACAGTATTGAAGGCAAAAGGTGGCCCAACGAAGTACTGATGGGGTGGTCATAATAATCTGGCCACTCAGTATATATACTGAGTGGCCAGATATATATATTTTCACCAAAAGAATTGAAAGCAGGGACTCAGACTCAGATATTTGTACATCCATGTCCATAAGAGCATTATTCACAGTGGCCAGAAGAAGGAAACAGCACAAGTGCTCCTTTTATCAGTGGGTGAGGTAGGTAAAAGGTAGTGCACACGTACAGGGGCATGTTAGTCAGCCTTAGCAGGAAGGACATGCTGGCACATGCTGCCGCATGGTGAGCCGGAAGGACATTATGCTAATGAGATAAGCAAGACACAGAGGGACCAACACCGTGTGGTCCCACTTGCATCAGGTACGTCGAGCCCTCAGACTCCTAGAGAAAGAGTAGGTTGTGGTTCACAGGGCCTGGGGCTGGGGAGTTTGTGCAGAAAGGGAAGAGCTGCAGTTTGGGAAGATGACAAGTTCTGGAGATGAAGGGTGCGATGGTAGCACAACAAATCTTATCAGTAGAAAAAGCCACTGTGTGCCCCCTCTGCTGCCCACCTGCCCCAGCCAAGCTGCTGTGCGGAGGGCTGCGGCTGGCGGGCTAGCCACACCTTTGTCCTGCCACTGCCTGTTAGAGTCCCATCGTGGGAAAGGAAGGCGATCCCGTGCTCAGGAGGTGGCTCTACGCACAGGGAAGTCCGCTTCCCCTGCACACCGGCGACTCTGCTCCAGGCGGCCCTTTGGGGACCCAGGCTCCTCTCTGGCCCATGTGGCTCATTTGCCACCTGGGGGAAGAGCGGAGGGCGGAAGGGTCCCTGTGCTGTGCAGGGAATGCTATGCCTTGTGGGGTATCATCTGCCCCTGCACCCCCGTAGGTGTCAGCTGCCTCCCACCTGCCGTCGCAGCCACGGAGGTGCTGCTCCATGACCCCTCCCGAGAGGCTGCCACAGGACAGTCAGCTGACGGCCGCCAGGTCAGGCTCCGCTCTGGGGAGCAAGGGGGTGGCTGAGCTCCCTGTGCCCTCCTGCCTCCGTGGGTGGAACTTCCCGTGCTCGCTCATCCTCCCTCTTTACTAAGGCGTCCCTCACCCAGCGCTTACGTTTCTAACCATCCTGTTGCCGTCTCCCCGGAGGACCCAGCCTGATGCCTTTGCTCGGGGCTGCATCCCCCAGCACAGAGCAGCCCTGACAACCTCCCGGGGACCCCCCAGCACAGAGCAGCCCTGACAACCTCCCGGGGACCCCCCAGCACAGAGCAGCCCTGACAACCTCCTGGGGACCCCCCAGCACAGAGCAGGCCTGACAACCTCCCGGGGACCCCCCAGCACAGAGCAGCCCTGACAACCTCCCGGGGACCCCCCAGCACAGAGCAGCCCTGACAACCTCCCGGGGACCCCCCAGCACAGAGCAGCCCTGACAACCTCCCGGGGACCTCCCAGCACAGAGCAGCCCTGACAACCTCCCGGGGACCTCCCAGCACAGAGCAGCCCTGACAACCTCCCGGGGACCTCCCAGCACAGAGCAGGCCTGACAACCTCCTGGGGACCCCCCAGCACAGAGCAGGCCTGACAACCTCCTGGGGACCCCCCAGCACAGAGCAGCCCTGACAACCTCCTGGGGACCCCCCAGCACAGAGCAGCCCTGACAACCTCCCGGGGACCCCCCAGCACAGAGCAGGCCTGACAACCTCCCGGGGACCCCCCAGCACAGAGCAGCCCTGACAACCTCCTGGGGACCCCCCAGCACAGAGCAGGCCTGACAACCTCCTGGGGACCCCCCAGCACAGAGCAGGCCTGACAACCTCCCGGGGACCCCCCAGCACAGAGCAGCCCTGACAACCTCCCGGTCACCCTAGAAGTCTAAGAGGTGTTCTATAAGCGTGTGCTGACTTGAGCAGGATGCCGAGCGGGGGCACAAGCCGTCTGCTGGTGCACCTGAGAGAGGGTGGGGGTTCCCCATCACCCTAACTGGACCCCTTTGCCAATGAACTCAGAGTGGAACGTCAGAACCAAACTGGCTCATCACAGGGGCCCCTGCAGATGGGGTCTCCCTAGCTGCTCCGGCCACACAGGCCACCCTGGTGGGGCCCCGAGCGGCTCGGTCCCGGACGCCAGGATTACCAGGTGCTGCACGGCTGTGCCCGGAACCGGGGCCAGGGCAGAGCTGGCCTGGCGGACGCCAGCGGGGACGGATGGAGTTGTTGACAGTGACCATTTCCTGCAGCAGCTCCCTCTGCGGAGACATTTCTAAGGCTGTTCGTGCTCCTGGATGCCCGGCCACTGCCAGCTCCCACTCCGCCCGTCTGTCTGCAGACCCCCAGTCTGGGTGGGAGCCTCCGTGGGTGCTTCCCGGGCCGCTGACCTGCGAGGCCCCCTGAGACTCGGTGACCGGCAGGGGCCAGCGGGGAGCTGCAGGGCCCGTCCACAGGAACAGACAGGAAGTTTGGTCTGAGGAGACAGAACGGCGACACCAGCAGGAGCAAACATGGGGGGAAGCCAAATATCCTTCTAGATCCTTCCAGGTCACCTGGATGACCGGATGCCCCTTCTGGTAGCAATGATGCCCTCACATGCTGGCCCTGGCACACCCTCAGCCCAAACCCAGGGTCAGTGTCTAGCGGTCAGTGAACGTTCAGAAAAAGGTGTGCAAGGCCACAGCCAGTGACAGGGCTGTTCCTGCTGCGCGGGGAGCACAGGCAGAGCTGGTGGAGCCCCCCACACAGTTGTCCAACCCGGGGGTGAGGGGGGCCCGCCTGCGCCGCGGCCTCCAGCCAGGTAATGCAGGGCGGAGCCCACGGAGAAGGAGCTGTTCTCCCGAAGGTGCCGATGGGCAGCTCTCTGACGGGAGAGGACTAAGACTTGGGGTCAGTGGTGTTAGAGGGATGTTCAGTGAGGTTTGAATTTTTTTACAAGAAAAATATTTATGAAGCACTTTTATACTCCCCTCCCCCGACCCCACACACCCCCTAAACACTTTCTAAGTGGGAGCTTTGGAGGCAAGACAGGCCTGAATTTGAACTCCAGCTCCATTGTTTGTAGCTGTGTGATGGGAGTAGGTCACACGCTCTCCGTGAGCCTCGGTGCTCCTGTCTGTCACGTGGGGCGGGCTGGGCTTTCACGTTTCGCCTGCTTGGCGTGCAGGCTCTGGATTTTCCCTGCAAGCCGTGCGCTGGCACCACTGGTCTGCGCTTTGCAAGGGGCCCAACACGCCCTTCAGCTCTGAGCACATGGCCGGGGCCTCGCCGGCAGGCCACTCCCAGCGCCTCAGCGTCAGCTCAAGAAAGGACACGTGGCCCAGCTGGAAGCTCAGTTGGTTGGATTGTCGTTCCGCACACC